CCTGGTGTTGCTTAGAGCTACTGCTTCTGGCCATCGGGTGGCAAAATCCATGAAAGTCAGTATGTACTGCTTTCCTCTGGGTGTCTTTTTCGGAAAAGGACCCAGAATATCCACAGCTACTCGCTGAAATGGAACTTCAATGATGGGAGGTGGCTGGAGAGGGGCTTTGACCTGGTCTTGGGGTTTTCCCACTCTTTGGCACACCTCACAAGACTGGACATAGGTAGAAACATCCTTGCCCATTCCCTCCCAGTGGAATGACCCCCCCAAACGGTCTTTGGTCCTGTTCACCCCAGCATGGCCACTAGGGTGATCATGGGCTAAGCTCAAGAGCTTGGCCCGGTATTTAGTTGGAACTACCAACTGTCTCTGAGGATGCCAGTCTTCCTGGTGTCCACCAGAAAGAGTTTCCTTGTATAAAAGTCCTCTTTCTACAACAAACCTGGATCGATTAGAAGAGCTGAGAGGCGGTGGGTTGCTCCGTGCCGCCGTCCAAGCTCTCTGGAGGCTTTCATCTGCTTCCTGTTCGGTCTGGAACTGTTCCCTTGATGCTGCGGACATCAGTTCCTCATGGGATTGTGGACCTAGGCTTGGTCCCTCTGGAAGCGATATAGGGGATGGAGCTGTTTCTGTTGACTGTGAACCGCTCTCCGCTGGTGCACTATGTTGGGATTCAGGCTCCGGCTGAGCCTCTCGTGTAGGGTTATCGGCTGCTGCCAGTTCAGGTTCGGTGGGGCCCTCTGGTGTTGAGGTTGCAAGTACTGGATTCAGTGCTGACACGGGTTCTGGGCTGGTTCCAGTTCTAGGACTGGTTCCGTCTGGGTCTCTGGGACTGGATCCACTACTGCTGTTGCAGACATTGGCCTGGGGTCCGGGTCCATCACCTCTGACTGGGTCCTGATAGAAGTTTCCGGAACAGAGCTAGGCCTCACGGCTTGTTTAGCCTGGCTGCGGGTGACCATTCCCACCCTCTTGGCCTGCTTCACATGATTGGCCAAGTCTTCCCCCAACAGCATGGGGATGGGATAATCATCATAGACTGCAAAAGTCCACATTCCTGACCAGCCCTTGTACTGGACAGGCAACTTGGCTGTAGGCAAATTGAAAGAGTTGGACTTGAAGGGTTGAATCGTCACTTGGATCTCTGGGTTGATTAAATTGGGGTCCACTAAGGAAGCATGGATAGCTGACACTTGTGCTCCGGTGTCCCTCCACGCGGTGACCTTCTTCCCGCCCACACTCACAGTTTCCCTCCGCTCCAAGGGTATCTGGGAGGTATCTGGGCCTGTGGACCTCTGGTGTGATTCCGGTGCAATGAACTGTAATCTGTTGGGGTTCTTGGGGCAGTTGGCCTTCACATGCCCCAGCTCGTTACACTTAAAACATCGTCCAGCTGACGGGTCACTGGGGCGAGGAGGGTTGCTGGAGAACGGGGTGGTGGGACGGTAAGGGGTCTGGAGGGTTCTTTGGGAGGTAGGTGGGGCTTTGGGCGGCCCCCGGTAATAGGGTGTGGTCTGGGGTGGTCCCTTCTGCTCTCCGCTCCAACTGCGACCAGTTTTCTTCTTCTCTGCCACCTCCACCCATCTGGCTCCAATCTCTCCTGCCTCAATTACAGTTTTGGGTTTCCCATCTAGGATGTATCTTTCTATTTCCTCAGGAACACCCTCTAAGAATTGTTCCATTTGCATTAGGAAGGGCAAATTTACTGGAGATTCAACACTTGCTCCTGATATCCAGGCATCCCAATGTTTCACAATGTGGTAGGCATGTCGGGTAAATGACATGTCTGGTTTCCACCTTAGGGCTCTGAACCTCCGACGAGACTGCTCGGGTGTTATCCCCATTCTGACTCTCGCCTTGGATTTAACAGTTCATACTTGTTCATGTGTTCTTTAGGCATTTCAGCTGCCACCTCAGCTAAGGGTCCACTGAGCTGCGGCCTCAGCTCTACCATGTATTGGTCAGTAGAGATGTTGTACCCAAGGCAGGCCCTTTCGAAGTTCTCTAAGAAGGCCTCAGTATCATCACCTGCCTTGTAGGTGGGGAACTTTCTGGGATGGGAAGTGGTACCTGGAGAAGGATTGCTAGGGTTTGTTGGTATATTCTGCTGGGCCTTTATCTTCTCCACCTCCTCCACATGCTTCCTCTCTTTTTCCTTCTCCTCCAGTTCTTTGGCCCTTGCTTCCATTTCTTTGTCCCTTGCTTCCATTTTCAGCCGCATGAGTTCTATCTGTCTTTCATGTTCCCTTTGTTTTTCCGCAGCCTGAAATCTGGCTAATTCCAGCTTTTGTCGAGTCGTGGATTTTGTCATTCTAACCTCTCTGTTTTTAACTAACTTTACACCCAAGGTTTAGAAATAAACAAACAAAACTTGGCTGTAAAATTTTGCTGTGCTGGAATAGAATACCTATTCTCTGATAGTGATTGTCAGCCTACAGAAAAAGACAATTCCCTTGTCTCTGCTCTGGGCCCAAATCAAAGCAAAAAACCTCCAACTACTTGGAAACCTGCTTACCAGCAGCCCAAAGGAAAAAAAAAAATTCCTTTTCAAACCTGTGCTCCTTGTAAAACAAAAAAAATCAAAATCCTAAAAAAAAACCCCTGCCACTTTTGTCTCCAGGCAAATGGGTAGAACACACACCCCCTATTTACTTTTAGGAAGAAAAGAAAAAAAAAACTCTGGGTTGGAAGACTGTGAATTTCCCTGCAGGAGTTAAGTACCCTGCCTCCAGGCAAAGAAAACCTGCAATTCACAAAGATAATCCCCTTTTGTCTCTGCTTGGCCACAAAGCAGAGAGAAACCAAGCTGCTTTCAGTTTCAAAGCTGCTTTCTGGACTTCCTAAAAATTCCTTTTTAAAATCTGTATTTCTAGTTCAAAAAATCTCAACTGGATCTCAAAATGATTTCAGGTTAATCCCACCACTGTGCCACCATGTCAAGGTTCCTCCCCCACTCTGAACTCTAGGGTACAGATGTGGGGACCTGCATGAAAAACCTCCTAAGCTTATCTTTACCAGCTTAGGTCAAAACTTCCCCAAGGTACAAAATATTACACCCGTTATCCTTGGAATGGCCGCTACCACCACCAAACTAATACTGGTTACTGGGGAAGAGCTGTTTGGACGCGTCCTTCCCCCCAAAATACTTCCCAAAACCTTGCACCCCACTTCCTGGACAAGGTTTGGTAAAAAGCCTCACCAATTTGCCTAGGTGACTACAGACCCAGACCCTTGGATCTTAAGGGCAATGAACAATCCTCCCAACACTTGCACCCCCCTTTCCTGGGAAATGTTGGATAAAAAGCCTCACCAATTTGCATAGGTGACCACAGACCCAAACCCTTGGATCTGAGAACAATGAAAAAGCATTCAGTTTTTACAAGAAGACTTTTAATAAAAAATAGAAGTAAACAGAAATAAAGAAATCCCCCCTGTAAAATCAGGATGGTAGATATTTTACAGGGTAATTAGATTCCAAAACATAGAGAACCCCTCTAGGCAAAACCTTAAGTTACAAAAAAGATACACAGACAGAAATAGTTATTCTATTCAGCACAATGCTTTTCTCAGCCATTTAAAGAAATCATAATCTAACACATACCTAGCTAGATTACTTACTAAAAGTTCTAAGACTCCATTCCTGTTCTGTCCCTGGCAAGAAGCAGCATACAGACAGACACAGACCCTTTGTTTCTCTCCCTCCTCCCAGCTTTTGAAAGTATCTTGTCTCCTCATTGGTCATTTTGGTCAGGTGCCAGCAAGGTTACCTTTAGCTTCTTAACCCTTTACAGGTGAGAGGAGCTTTCCCCTGGCCAGGAGGGATTTCAAAGGGGTTTACCCTTCCCTTTATATTTATGACAAAAGCCCAACACTCAAAGCATCACCAAGGTGATGCATCCTGTTGTACTACCAAATGTGTCAGCTAGGACCCATTCCAGTGACTTCAGTAGCATATAAATGGATGGCACCATGGCCTATGGCAGACCAGCAGCTGATGGGTTAATGAATAATTCGATAATGATTTGAAGAACCATACATCGAAATAAATAAATTGTAAGACAACCTTTCACCACTTCCCCAAGATCACTAATAGTGAACATTAAAATCCTCCCATTAATTGTGTGTTTGCAAGGATATCACAAAGATACAGTCGTGATGGGGCAGGTAGGTACCTAGATAGATCAACCTGAAATAGTAAACCTGGATCCAGTATATGTTGGAGGTAGGAAGAGGGTCATGCTGTGCAAAATATTCACAACAAAACACAGAGGGCCATGTAATGTACCTCTTTTTTTAGAATCAAAGAATCATAGAATATCACGGTTGGAAGGGACCTCAGGAGGTCATCTAGTCCAACCCCCTGTTACAGTCTAGAAACTCAGCATGTTGAAAGGTTTGCTAATGTTCATGAACACTAAACTTTTGAGCAAACCCGGACCCTGTTTCAGGAAAACTGAGCAGGCTTGGGGTTTGCAAGGAAATCCTGCAAAAATCTCTCTCTAGGTTCTTATACTGGCACCCACCACCAAACTATGTGAGTGCCACATCTCACGGACATATCATGAAAATAGGTGCAAGTTGGTGCTTTTGACCAAGATTTGCATTGACATTTTGTGGGGGTTTTTTTCTTTTTTTTTTAACTCCAACTGAAAGTTGGGGATGAGGAAAGCTCACAAATCAGAGGTGGACCCGAGTCACGAAATGAGGATTCAGATCTGAACAGTGCAAGTGACAGCTGTCCTTATAATGGGCCAAACGCCTACATTCAAACCCTCAGCCTTTGGGGAAGTATGCTCGGCCTAACCTCCCCCACAACCTCCCTTTATATGTTACACACAACTTGACAGACAGGGATGCGCAGTTGGAGATTTGAGAGCCAACAGTCCTTGCCACCGTTTCAATGTTGCTAGTACATTTGGCATTAGATTAGTTGGCTGTCCGAAAATGAATCGCAGTTCACATTGTCTCTTTTTATTTCTACTCCCCACCCCCATCTACAGAGCAACAGGAGAGAAGCCGGGAACAGATCGAGCAATGGCGTCAATATCACTACGACGGTCTCTACCCATCTTACATGTACAACCGTCACCACATCTAGATGTAAGAAGAGTGAACTAAAAAAAAAGTTAAATATTTGCTGACTAAGCCGTTCACAGGACACCAAAGAAGCCACCACATTTCCAAAGTCTTGGCCATGTCATGGATCCCACTGTGGAATCTACTCCACCAAGCCCTCCTCCTATAGTAATTGCATTGACTCTGTTTTAATAGATAGAGCTTCTCATAGGGTGCTGCTTTGCTTTGTATTTTGAGGTGCCTGGATGTGTGACAAAATCTGGATTTAAAACACAAAAGTGGAACAATGCAGACAGAATTAGGTCCCTGAGACATGTATAAATCAGGATAGTTTAGGCTGTTTAGAATTTGTCTTATGTAAACAGATAAGAATTTTTTTTTTAAATCACTGTATCATGGGAATCACTGAAAAGCAAATCTATGTTTGCTGTAATCCCAGAGTCTCTGTAATATTTTACTTTAAGTTTAAAAAAAGGAACTGTATTAACATTCTAATAGTTGTTTAATTAAACAGTAGTATTAGCTTCTGCAATATCACTCAATATTACTCCTCCTTACTAATCTTATAAATAATGGAAATTCTATACGTTTCAAAGAATATAACTTCCTTTTTAACTATCATCAGTCCCTTCAAGATGCATAAGCAGCTAGTGATGTAAGTTTTATATGAAGGAAAAATAATAACAAGAAAGTTTGAAACTACTCTTATACTTGCATTTACACAGTAGAAATCATGCAACAAACCTCACTGCCAACTCTGCCCACATATCTACACCAGCACAGGACCTAACCAGATCAGCCACACCATCACAGGTTCATTCACCTGCACGTCCACCAATGTAATATACGCCATCATGTGCCAGCAGTGCCCCTCTGCTATGTACATTGGCCAAACTGGACAGTCCCTAAAAGGATAAATGGACACAAATCAGATATTAGGAACGGCAATATACAAAAACCTGTAGGAGAACACTTCAATCTCGCTGGACACACAATAGCAGATGTAAAGGTAGCCATCCTGCAACAAAAAAATCTTCAGGACCAGACTTCAAAGAGAAACTGCTGAGCTTCAGTTCATTTCCAAATTTGATACCATCAGCTCAGGATTAAACACAGACTGTGAATGGCTCGCCAACTACAAAAGCAGTTTCTCCTCCCTTGGTGTTCACACCTCAACTGCTAGAAGAAGGCCTCATCCTCCCTGACTGAACTAACCTCGTTATCCCTAGCTTGATTCTTGCTTGCATATTTATACCTGCCTCTGGAAATTTCCACTCCATGCATCTGACGAAGTGGGTATTCACCCACGAAAGCTTATGCTCCAATATGTCTGTTAGTCTATAAGGTGCCACAGGACTCTTTGCTGCTTTAACAGATCCAGACTAACATGGTTACCCTTCTGATACAGTAGAAATTATTCCTCTACATTATTCTTTTTCTAGCCAGACATTAAATAACTATCTTCACTTTCTATAATGGCTGTTTATCAATAAACATAGCGCCATAGAATCATAGACTATTAGGGTTGGAAGAGACCTCAGGAGGTCACCTAGTCCAATCCCCTGCTCAAAGCAGGACCAGCAACAACTAAATCATCCCAGCTAAGGCTTTGTCAAGCCAGGCCTTAAAAACCTCTAAGGAAGGAGATTCCACCTCCTCCCTAGGTAGCCCATTCCAGTGCTTCACCACCCTCCTAGTGAAATAGTGCTCCACCATCATTCTAGCACGAGGTAGGATCACTCTAGGGATCTTCCATCTGGAGCCTAGGTCCAGCAATGCTACTAGCCAGGATGGGCAGGGATGGTGTCCCTAGCCTCTGTTTGCCAGAAGCTGGGGACATAGGTCCTGGAACTCGTGGTGCTGGCACACCCCCTGGCTTGAAGTGGTTTTCATCAGGGTTTACAGTTTGGTTAAATGGCTCCCAGCATCCCCACTATAAAAATTGTTCCAGCACCCCTGGCTGGGAACACTCAACAGGGGATGGATCGCTTGATGATTACCTGTTCTGGTAATTCCCTCTGAAGCACCTGGCATTGGGCACTGTCAGAAGACAGGATACTGGTGAGATGGACCATTAGTCTGACCCAGTATGGCCGTTCTTCTGTTCTTATCTGTATACTAGCAGCTCTGTTAACTGGGGCAAAATTAATCAGAGCCTGTGGCAGTTGTTCCTGGGGAGGAGGTGTGGAGAAATAACTTCTCTCATGGGGAAATCTTCTCACACCAGCAACTCTTATAGGAATGAAGGAAAGAGAACACAGGGAACACATGGAAAGATACCTCAGCACAATAATATCTCTGTGGAGAACCAAGGGCGGGGGGAGGGGACACATTTTTAAAATGTAATATGTCACAATGGGGCGGATCAAACACTTGCCTATGTTACTAGCTTGCTCATCAAAGCACAGCCCCACTGGACGCTTTGGCTAACTGTCCTGCTATGAACTAAAGGAGGGGAATCCCTGCAGAAATGCTAGTGCTAAGAGCTAATTAGCTTCTTTTTCACATGCACTTAACCGGGAAAGGCACCTGGAGCTCTCTACTCGGAGAGCTGTAAAAACCTTGGCTGTACCGCCTGCCAAGGTAGGGCAAATGTGATGAGTCAGGATCACTTGCAGGGATCAGAAAGTAATTCAGTTTCCTTCCGTTGAGACCGAGCAGTGGGGCCTATCAGCAGGAGTAGGCTACGGAGGGTGGATTCATCCACTGGGAGCTGGAATGGGACTGTTAATCCATGTTAGATCAATTATCACGTGATTACAACATGAACATGAAATGAACAAAGGTTGACAAACCTCAGGCGCAGCTTTCACAATGCAGAATTTCCCAGGATCGAATGGCCTGTCCATCCTGTGAAGGCAGGAGGCAGACTTGTATCTGCTGCTGTTACGCACCCCCTGCGTGCTGAGCCTGTAGTCGAACTGCTCCTTGGCGCTGTTGAGGTGGCCGGTGTACGGCTTCATGAGGAGACTAAGGGGGCAGGATCCCCCAGCATCTCTACTGGCATTTCAACATCGCCAGTGGTAATCCACCGGTTGTGAAAGACGGTCCCTGCTTGTAGCTTTCTGGAACAGTCCCGTGTTCTTAAAGAGCTACGTGTCATGCACCTTCCCTAACCAGCCAACATGGACGTCAGTGAAGCATCCCCAGTGAGCCATCAGCGCTTGCCTAACCCCTCCGCTCACTCATCTGAGGACTGGAAGGCTTCTGTGAGAAGCTGTTGGTGTTACCCACGCACGCTAGGGCACCTGCCTTTACCCAGTTCCCTGGGCTCAAGGTATAATGCAGTTAATTTAGGCACCTCCTTACCCCATACCTAGGGCTCAGGGCACAACCCTCTGTGGGCTTACGGGACATTTTAGCAGTGAAAGAGCCTGACACAGTAATATCCTGAACATCTATGTATTGACAGTTACCAAAACAGAATGCACACGCTAAGCATACAACAGTCACCACTCCCAATAAGACAGACAAACTTTTCTTGGTGGCCAGTCAGAATCAGGTCATCTGGGGACTCCAGCTTCTGCATGATATAGTTGGCAGGGTGTTGAGATCTGGCAGCTCTGATCTCGGGCTGTGTCCTGGAATTGGTTCCAAAGAACTTCCTTTTGGCCCCCCCAAACCATGCATATAATAGAGAAGTAGGGATCATAAAGGCAAAACAATAAAGACGTAGAGATTTCACAACCACAACTGTCGATAAGTGATTCCTTGCCAGACAGAATGCTAGCAAAGTTTTCTTTAAACATCTTAAGATCTCTTTCTTTATCTGGCGATGGTGGGTACTGTTAGGACAGGATCGCTTCCTGAACAGCCCTATATTACACTGTTTTAATGGAATTTAGATGGCATGTGAGGATGGGACTTTCTGTTTCTCGGCTCATGGCTGCTGCTGTTCTACTGTGGCTGCAGGTTTATTATCGACGAAACACAGTACTAGCACCCTGGCTCCATGGTGACAGGTACACTAACACGCGTGTGCCCATCACAATGGACTCAGCTCAATCAGCAGCCGGCCTTTCTGCTGGACAAAGGTGCCCCGCCGATGATTTCTCTTTTAGACATTGATACAAACCAGTTACGTATTACACTGCTGACGTGGTTAGTTACCAACCCTTGTACCTGCTCGTTCTAACAAAACATCCCCATCCATCATTCCATCCATCATTCTATCTTTGTCTTTCTCAGGGTTGGTGTGATCCTGTACCATCTCCCAGGAATGAGTTGACATGAATATCCTGTACCTAGGCATGCCTGTGTTTTAGTAACGCTCACCAGGCCTTTGGTTCCGGCCTCAGGCCTTGCACCAGGCCCTGTGCTCCAGGCTCTCTCCTTCTACCACACGGGGGGAGGGTGTTGTATATGTAGAAAAATTCATAAGCATCCATTGTCTGGATAATAATAATTAATACCTAGATATGAAAATTAGCTGGAGGAAACCTTCCTCTCTACCCCTTAAAGTCATGTAATGCCCACACGAGAAACAAAGCAATTTCAGCTATGGTGCAGTCATCTCTAGTTTATGACACGACCATACTGAAATTATTATTCATTTAAAACAAATTGTGGGGTTTTTTTTTTATTTATTTCAGCCATTAGCATGAAATAACATTCTGGATGGAATGAACGACGTTTTTGCTTGTCTAGTCCCATTCCTATTTGCATTAATGAGAGATTGAAGGATACAGTGTCAGATACAGGCAGGAGCTGGGCAGTTGGTGTTACTAGAGATGGCTGTACATATGTGAACTGTAAATTAGTAGACAAGGTGGAAGCAGACAGTGGTCAAGAATGTGTAGGATGCTTCCTGGAATTTCCATAAAAGTTGTTTTTGTTGTGCATTGCCAGTAAAATCTTGTGTGCAGTTCTTCACATGGACCTCCTAACAGTTGGCACTGAGGTAGGGATGTAAGACATCATAAGCATCACAGGGCATAGTCAGTATAGACAAGTGACTCTGACATTATTCCACAGTGTCTGTTAACAGGCCACCATAGTAAGGGTAGGGCATTACACACTGCTTCACCGATCCAGGATTCCTAATGGATCAAGCCTGGATTCTGAAGGGAAAGGGGAGTAACAACTGGAAGCCTGAGGGAACAACACCACCAGTTTTCCTCTCCAAATGAGTTGATGAACTCTTCCCTGTGATGCAGATGCTGATAAGCTATAGAGAGACGCTGACCCCATCTATCTTATCGACTGAGATGTGGTGACAATTGTAGCCAACTAGTTCATTGTAAAAAGAAAAGGAGTACTTGTGGCACCTTAGAGACTAACCAATTTATTTGAGCATGAGCTTTCGTGAGCTACAGCTCACTTCACGAAAGCTCATGCTCAAATAAATTGGTTAGTCTCTAAGGTGCCACAAGTACTCCTTTTCTTTTTGCGAATACAGACTAACACGGCTGTTACTCTGAAACCTAGTTCATTGTATCATTCAATTGTGTTATCTATTGTCATGGCAAA